GATAATATACCGATCCAGGCCATTGTTATAATTTCACAGCTAAATTTAAGTGGTATAATTGTGACAATCATTTATGTATTGGGTCAATCTGCCAGTGATCTTTTCATCACCTTATTAAAACACAGGTGTCATCAAATCTGACCTGGGTGACTGCATTTAATTCACCTACACTACCTAAGACAATTAGTAGGCATTGACATTGGTACTTTTTTAACCTTTATATGTATGTTTGTTCAGCGATTTTTTTTAGCTTAACATGTATTGTAATCATACATGTAATCATTGTGATTACTGATTAAGTGGTCATGTAATTGATTAAATTATGATTAAATTACAGGAAAAAAATTATGATTACTGATTATTGTGATTACTCAAAAAATTGTAATCGATTAAATTAAATTAAATTACCGATTGCGATTACCCCATGTCTGGTTTTCATGACTAGAATCTGTTGCGGTCAGCAGGTTCATCTGTGTTGACATCGTTGTTTTTATCACGCGAACAAAGTATTTTACTGAACGAAAAAATCATGTACATCCTTATTCTTCTATTTGTTTGTAAATCTGACCGTCTGCTTCTGTAAGTTGTTTTTTTTTCAATTTATTTGATTTTCTTTCTCTTTTTGATAACTCCCTGTAGCATAGGCTTAGATATTCTTGTTCTTGTGGCTAATAATTGAACAGTTTTGAAATTCAAAACTTTAGATGTAAAAATGACCTTTATGAAATTAAATTTTGATATGAAAAATGTGAAAAGAATGTAATAATAATAACCATCTTTTTAATAAGATTAAGATATAAGTCTGGTTGAAGCTCATTTAATTAAAACTTAAGTCCTCTGAACATTTTATTTCTTCATCAAAATAAACTACAGTTTGTTATGACAGAAAGAAGATAAAAAATGAAACATAATATTAACCGCCTGTAAAATGATATTAACTGCCACAATATTGGAGTGAGAAATAATTGAATACTGAATTTTCTCATTATTTTATACAGGTTAAATGTAAATAATCAAGTAATGTGTTATATGGCAAACTGATTCGTTTTCAAGTATATACCTAGTCAACAGAAAAGTACATCAATACTCTAATCAGATACATGTACTGGGAAAGTGACTTTGTTTTTTAGTAATTCCATTCTTGTTTTTCTATTTTATTGTCACATCAGTGTTATTAGTGCATTGTGAAGGCCGTAAAATATCGCCCCATACATTTAATCAAGGATGTTATATTTTAGACCATTGAAGATCGTTCAGCATGACATATTGCTGTGTGTACATGTTTGTGATGTTATAATTCCTTCTATCTAACCCTTTTTCTGAATGTGTGGTTCCAATATCCTTTCTTTAATACTGTTGAATAACCCTTAAGATATGTTGCCTTCTTTTTAATTTTGTCGTTTGACGTCTTATCTATGACTCGCAGTCATTATAAAATTTTATAACCTTTCGAAATTTCATTTTGTGTAGTTCCGAAAAAGCAAGAGCACACGGTTTCTTTAAATAAGGGACCATATACCGCTATTCCACATTAAAAGTTTCATTATTACTGCTGTATGAACACATATGCGAATGTTTCTAATTCCAAATGTCCCCATTTTCATGAATAAATATTGAATTCTGCTTAAGCCGGTGGTATGGTGACTAAACAGTTTATATAATCTGTATACGTGACAATGTCTCCGACATTAACTTCTCTCACAACGTGAAACAAAGTCAATGTCCATTGCTTCTACTTTTTTGCCTATTGATTTTATTTGTCGTATGTTTATTGTATGGCTTTCTTGTGAGTGTTCCTAAAGTCACTTGTTTTCACAGTGATCAACTGTTTGATTTTTTCTTCTTTTTTTTTTTTTTGGGGGGGGGGGGGGGGGTTGAAATGATCCATGTACACAAAATTTCTACCCATTAAAATAACGTTACAGTCAATAACGTTATACAAAACTTGGCATAAATCATAGCTTTTATGTAATGTTTAGGAAATCGTTTTATACATAGATTGTGACAAAAAACTTACTAAATAATATCATTTTCTTTATCCAGATGTGATGTGATCCTGCAGTCAATGCTTTGTTTTCTACGTCAGTCATCTGTTTACACTTTGGTACACTGAAAATGCTATTAAAAACACACATAATATGCCCAGAAACAAATAAGTGTTACCTTATTTAGGAAGGGAAAACAAGAGTGTTTTTTTTAGCTCACCTGACCACAAAATGATCAAGGTGTGGTATAGTGATGGGGCTATGTCCGGCGTCTGTCGTCGTGCGTCTTCAACAATTAGCTTGTTAACAGTCTAACAGTCACAATTTTGATTGGATCATCATCAAACTTTGTCAGAATGTTTGTCTCAATGAAATTCAGATCGAATACGAAGATGGGTCATCTCGGGTCAAAAACTAGGTCACATGAGCTAAAATTAGAAAAAGCTTGTTAACACTCTAGTGGCTGCAGTTTTGATCCAAATATTCTGGAAATTTGTCAGGAAGGTTGTTTGATGATTTCTAGAAAAATCTTGCTAACACTTTAGTGGCTGCAGTTTTGATCCAAATATCCTGAATATTGATCAGGGAGGTTGTTTTGATGTTTTGTAGGTCAAGTTCGAATACGGGTCATCTCCGGTCAAAAACTATGTCATAGAAGCAAGAATAAGAAAAAAGCTTCTAAACACTCTAGTGGCAGCAGATTTGATTCAAATTTCCTGGAAATCGGCCGGGAAGGTTGTTTTGATGATTTGTAGGTCAAGTTCGAATATGGGTCATCTCCGGTCAAAAACTAGGTCACAGGAGCTTAAAATAGAAAATCTGGTAACACTCAAGTGGCTGCAGTTTTGATCAAAAGCTATGTCACACTGCCCAAATATGGAAAAAACCTTGTTAACACACTAGTGTGTTCACATTTATTACTCCATTGTCATCAAACTTGGTCAGGATGCAGCCATTGCTCGGATGTGGTTGATGGGTCAGGGGAGCGATCTAGGGCCATCATGACCCTCTTTTGTTCAATATAAAGATAATGGTTTACAGAATCATAGATGCTTATCACTTGAAGACAGTAACGCTGGAGGTAAAATTAGTCATAAAAAAGCAAACTTTCAAACAAAATATTAAATCACTATAAAAGTACCAGTTACCAATATGCAACAGAAGCAAAAGATGGTTCAGGTTATTAGCCAATGAGTAACTTTTTTTAAACTTTAAGTAGACATCAAAAATAAAAAGGTTCTGAAAAATATAAGTTAAAGCATTTCTGAGGCAAAGGCCATACAGTGCCTTTAAGCAGCTACATTATAAGCCGGGGACGAATTAGTATTTGGGTCGCGTGATTGATGATCACACATGTACTTCCAATTGTTACAGTTTATGACGCTTCATTTAAACTAAATGTATTTCAAACATGCCGTTTAATTGATAACATGTGCTATATTTTAGCTATCATCAGTTATGTTTATAAGCAGGAAGACTATCTGTTTTGTGATGGTCTGGTCAAGTGTCACTTAGGGCAAATTATGACATCCAGTCTATATAAGGTTTCCAATTATGATAACTTTTAGCTGTGTTTTCTTTTCACGCAGATACAATGAATTTGTTCAAGGTTTCAGCGACATAAAGTACGCCTTAGAATGGATCAATTTTTGTACTCACATTCTATATGTTTAAAGTCTAAGAAACTAAGAGTCTCGGTGATTTTAGAGAGTCGATTTGAGCAACTGTTGAGTACTGCAATAAACTTGTATAATGGATTTGACTAGTTTGGTAATATTCGTTGAAGATAAAAAGGAATATACTAAGAGGCTATAAAGTCTGACAAAACTATGAACATTGTCCACGCTAGCTCTCGCGTGTACTTGTGATATTAATATGCAAGTCGTTAACATCATTTCCATCCAGGACCATGACGGCCATATGTTTCTCATGTGTATGGATCTCATATTCAAACGAAAGAAAGTTAAATAAGAAACATTTTTTTTATCCTGGGTGAATTTGTCTGTAGGGAGGGCAATATAATGTACCTGCGTACCATCTATCTTGGATATTACTTAGTTAATAAAGAGTGGCAATAAGAAAAAGCTATAATTAGCTAGGTACTTTGAAGGTACTGACCTCATCAAATGGTAGAGTTAAAATTTAATATTTGAGTAAGTAAATGTGTACTTAAGAAATAAAATACTTGTTCTTTAACAAATTGTTATAATTTGTCATTCAAATTCGCACATGAAACGTGGTTCAAATTTTTTCTTACAATTTCAAAAGTAGTTTGAGGAGACACTAGGTCTTGTTTCAAATCATTTCTTGAAACAATATATCTTTTTTTATGTTGTTTGTCATAATCGTCTACATTTTTGACTTGATCGACCATAATGCAAGCAAATTTGATAGAAAGTACGTCGATAGAAATTACGACGATCGACGAATTCAAAATAACTCCTATGGTTAAAAATATTTGTACAGCCATATTGTTAAGGCCTCTGAAACAATGCAACTCTTCGCACAGAAGTTTGGGCAAGGCCTATTGAGCAGTGCCGCGTTTCGAAGCTCAAGTCCTACTTAATTTCTGATTCAATGCCATATAAACGATGTGTAACCAATGGCTGATCAATTTTTTTATTTTAGTCCCTTGGTTTTTACTTGAATCTAGGTTGAGGTCCACTACGTACTAATTTTCTAATATCTGAGTTTTAGTTTTCGTATTTTGGAGTATAAAGCTTGTCGTCCAGAAGGAAAAAAAAGAGTGAATTTTTATCCCAAAAAGGCTCAAAATTTGAACAATCATGATCAAGTCCGACACGTCTTGCAACAACAAAATGGTTCCAGGCCTTACAATTCTTTGGGTAGGTTTCAAAGATTTCAGTTTCAAGTTTGCATGAAGTTGATTTGTTTAAACAACCAAGACAGGGCATCATAGAAGGAACATCAATCAGTACCAGAGATCAACCAACATTACAGAATAAATATATATTTAACTTTTATTTCATAGTCTTTGCATTACAAGTAAAGTCAAAATTAACTTCTTTAATATTAAACAGAAGAAAGATATACTTAACATATGAAGCCAAAGTCTATGACACACACTTTTCAATATGTTAGCCATGATAGTTAAATAAAAAAACACCCTAAATCAACACCCAAATCTGTAAAATTGAAAATGTTTAACACACTTGTTCCACAAAAATCCTATCATTTGTAATTTCTATTATTACAGATAATTAAAGTATTTAAGCCTCTCATATGTTTGAAATTGTTCATACAAGAGTTAATATGTCTGCCTATCATAACTGTTTAACTGTTCCACTAGAATTCTTTAAAATGTCAATTTTATTCTCAGTATAGAATGATGTTTAATTGGGTTTTACGTCACACAGTATACATTATTTAGGTCATATGACAACGTTACTGGTGGAGGAAGACCTCAAGTGCTCTTCCGTGCACCTGAGTAAAACCACCGACGTTCCATAAGCTAGGTATAGAATTTAAATACAATCAAAACACTTTTTTAGCATGACAAAACCAGTTCAAATCCTTACATGTTTATGATTACAACATCTTTAATAATTTATAAATAAACTCAATTTGATTCACATCTTCACCAATGTCTTTGATAGACAGATGGAGTTAACTGTCGGGGCATATAAACATATAAAAGGAAAATGTCTATGGCAAAAAGAAAGTTAAATTTGAACGAGTGATAGTATGAACAGATTTTAAATCCCAACATAATGGGCGAATAAACTTTTGAGTGTTTCTTTACTAAAACAAACAAAAGAAATGAAGTTAATTATGGAATAACTTAAAATGACAAAAATAAATAAATAAGAAATGTGAATTTCGATCTTATACATTGTAAATATGCAAAGAGCATACATGTGAACTTTTTTTGATGATTAAGTGGGAGATTTTTCTTCAAAAAGAGGGAGATTTTAGAATTTGCAATAAATAAAGAAGTGCTGACATCAAAATTAGGGAGATATCTTTAATTTGTAAAAATACCCCTTATTTTAAGAAAAATCTTTGAAAATATGATTGCAAAAAGTGGGAGTCTCCCGCTAAAAGTGGGAGAGTTCACATTGAGAATATGTTCTTCACTACACTGGTTTTAGAGATATTAATGCAAATGTAAATTTTCAAATTATGACAAAGTGCAACACAGATCTGTGAACCTTGGGCCTCCAAACTGTTTGGTGTGAGTATAAAAACTTTTTTCAAAATTTATATAACTGAAGTTTGATGCAAAAAAAAGAAGAACCTACGGCAAAATTGTATTGAAAAGTCTTTAGATTCTATGATACCACATACATTAAACATACTTTTATTACACATCTTATATGAATATATTTGCGATAATTTGAACAAAACAATTTGGATGCCACTCAAAAAGCTTCAAATAAATATTTTACACAAAGGCTTGTCATCAATTTTAATTCAAGCAAACTAAAATATTACATTCTATTGCACTTTTGAGATTTCCTTTATTTGCCAATTAACCAACAAACAACAAAATGGGTTGTTATTCACGCATCATAAAAGTTTTTACTCAGTAAACTTTCACAATATCTATCAATACGTATATTAAATTAGACTCCATTTCTAAATTAGCCAATTAACGTTGAGAGAATTTCTTCTTGTATTTAAGATCTATAAATGATGTTTGGACTTTTTTCTCAAGCTTAGCAAGTTCCATAACTGCTGGAGCCAGCGAATCGACGTGTCCTCTATAACCACTTCCTGTAAACAGAAAGCATGTCAAGTATTTAATAAAATAACATTGCTCAATTGAATGCAGTTTCATTAACTAATTAATAATATTTCTCTTAATATTGATAAAATTTCTTTTAACATTGTTCATTGTTGTTTTGAGAAGATATCATAAAGTACATTGTCACAGACCTAATTTAATCTAAAGTGAATGACAAGACCAAATAAAATCTAACAATTATTATTAGACTTACCTCCTAGCTTTCTTTTCTGGCCATAAGTAACTTTACCATCAAACTCATTAACTGGCACTTTCATATCGGGTTCCACCTGGTCTATGGTGATGTCTAAATGTTCTTCTACATCTGCCAGTAACTGAAATATCACAGTCATCAAAACTGACTTTAAAAAAGTACTACCCTTTACCTAAAGTCTAAAACTATTATATATACAGTGCTTTAACAAATCAGCAGTAATACAAAAATATTGAGACAATTAAGTGTTTGGTAGAATTCCTATTGTTCTCTTCTATTCATGTACACAAGATTCATTTACTGTATATACAGTATTTGATCATTATTTACACAAGAATATGCAAGAAAATAGGAGAGTTCAATTTTGCAATATACTGTAAAATATGTAGAAAAGGACCTCCACAAAACACTGTTGCTTAATTATTCAATTCATTTAAAAATATGTATGAGATTATTTTACCTGTGGTTCATTATACCAGATACAGCATCCACCTCTATCTGTAAGATTGGTGTTATAGCATCCTCGTCCACGTGTATTACAATTAGAGTGATACCAAACCTGAAAATAAAACAACACTAATCATACTCTTATTCTTGAACTTATTTCTATTGTTAATAAATTATTTGTGTAACCAGAATTATCCTGCTCTATTAAAGGGACTACACTGAAGTTTATTGACATGACAGGACTAAAAATATATTTTCGAGGTTTGTGTTACATTTAATATAGGTCTAGACCAACCAAATAATATTCATTTTAATTCTGATTTGATTTCTCTATAATCCATTGCAGACTTCTCCATTTCAAGGGCTTTACTTAGTCTGTACTTATCTTTTTAGGCTTTTTAACCTCAGACCAATATCAATTAAGACAGTTAAGAAACAAATTAATTCATTACAACTTGATGATATCATTTCATTGTTTTTTTTACAATTTTGTTGGATAATAAGCTGATATTTTCTGCTGTAAATAATCAACATTATATAGTGCCTCTTTGTATGTTAAGACGAAATATTTTTCTTATTTTCTCATCTCACCTTTTCTTTTACAGTTGCCACTAGAGACACTGCCAAACCCATTCTGTAAAAATACAAATATAACTGTTATACAAGAAAATATCTTCATGGTAACTGAATGGATAACATAGTTGAAAATGATGTACACTTTAATTCAGCTTAAGTTAATCAATCAAGAAATTGGTAAATCAAACATGCCAATCTGACTGTAAAAGGCAGAAGTGAGAATTACCGTAAACTAAATTAAAAGGCAACACTTAATTAATAATGGAAGACAAAATTTTAAATGACAAATTTCCTAACAGTGAAACAATCTTCTGAACAAGGTTAATAGAATTTAAATATCTCTTTTAGTTTATACAAATTTATTCAATTTCAATTGTGTTGGAGGCTATAAGCTTATTGAAACATTTTTCTTTTATTAACTGAAACATATTCTCTCCTTCTCTAAACTGAATAATTGAGCCGTGTCACGACAAAACCAACATAATGGGTTGGCGACCAGCATGGATCCAGACCAGCCTGCGCATCCGTGCAGTCTGATCAGGATCCATGCTGTTCGCTTACAAACCCTATTACAAGAAGAGAAACTGATAGCGAACAGCATGGATCCTGATCAGACTTCGCGGATGCGCAGGCTGGTCTGGATCCATGCTGGTCACAAACGCACTATGTTGGTTTTGTCGTGACACTGCTCAATTATAATATGCGAGTATGCATTTCCTTAGTTATTTGTTTTACAAAGCAATCCATTTAAAACTGATAGGCACTTATAATTTAAATATGATGAAAAAGAGATAATGTTAAAGATGAATTCGCCTTAATAATGTTATGAGGCAAAATTCATGATTTTATGTGAAAGAAGTCTCACATGCCCCTATGTGCAATATTTCAAACTCAAACAGGAACCTTGGTAGAAACCACCTTACTTGCACAAGGTCTCAAGTGGTAAGACAAGTTTTTCATAGTAATTTGTCAAAAGGATTAATAAAATAATGGCTCTCCAACCTTTCTGCACGTCCAACTCTTCCAATACGATGAATATAGTTCTGTTTCTCATCAGGCAATGTCACATTAATCACTGGAAATTTAATTAAATGTCTGTATGCATAATGTTTTAATCAATCAAGATGAAACAAATCTGTTCTTTGATATTTTAATATTAGCAAACTTTTGAAAGTAAAACTTGAAAAATTTTATAATCCAACAATGCCATAGATTAAAAGAAGCCATGTGATATTACTTTGTAATTTAAAAGACAAGTAGGGTTGTCATTTGCTGAAAATAGCCAATAAAGTACTTGTATCTGACAGTTTATGTGCTCTTGAGCCTTTGAAGTTACAAGGAACTGGCTGACTTTAAATTGGCAGAGGGGTCAAACACACTCCTTGTATCATTTCAGAGAAAAGTGCATTTTTTATGACATCTTAAAGGTAAACTATGATCATGACAAGCCTGAATTGTAGAAATTAGGATTATTATCAGGTATATCTATTAAACAAGTTAAAATAAAATAATATTATGTCACAATAAGATTATACATCAATAGAGAAATATGTAAATTTTTTTTAACCCACAAATATAGTTAATACACAACTGCATTAAAGAATTCTCTTTACATACATAGCTCTTGTAATCACAAAGGTCACAATAATGAAAATGCAATTTGGTCAGTTTTTTCTTGCAGATTTACGTACAATGTTTGAAATAATTTATAACTAAAAGTAGAAAAGGACATGGATGCCCTCACATTCAACTGCTCTGTCTATGGATGGATGGTATGACAGCCGGATGAACGAACAAGGGCAATTCCATATGTCCCCAATCCCCCACACCTTAATAGTGGAGGCTTTTAAAAAAATCCATATACTCCTTAATATTTGGGGCATGAAAAATACTTCAAATTTCAAATTTTTATACTTTTAGAAGGTATAAATACAGACAATTTAGAGCTTTTAGGAAAAGAATTCTTACCAAATGGAAGCCCCGACACATCAATTCCACGGGCAGCAACATCAGTACAAATCATATACTTTACTTTTCCATCCTGTGTGATAAAATATAGGACAAGTTACCATTTAATATAAAACTTTTATTATCTTAGTCAATATCCTATTTACTAATGGTTATCCATTATAAAAACAAGATAATATCCATTATCAATACCCATTTTGAAGCAAAGAAAGCAGACAAATAAATGTAAATAAATCATAATTAACGAGATATTACGAAAGACAACAATTTAGACATATTGTTAAACTAGTTCATTGTATTAGTTGATAACACTCAAGTTTCACATCAGAAAACATTAAATATTATGCTCTATTATCAATAATAGTTCTAGGAGAATATTCCATGGTCACTACTTATACAAAATCAGTCTAGCTAGGCAAGTACAACCTAGATAGAGGTATTAGCAAAATGACCACTAACTCTAATAACAAAGTTATTGTCTGAACTTTGCCCTAACTAGTCTTGTTTAATCTACTTGCAATGTGATTAATTTTCAATGATCTGGAATTTTAATAGTCAAATCAAACATCAAATACCATCAGCTAAACATAAAGAACTCTACAAGTATAGTTATTCATATAATTTATTCCTATACTCCTGATGGTGGTGTTGGTAGTTTAACCTGCGGACCACGGCAGTAAGCCACAGTAAGGTCCATTGATAACTCAAGATCAATGTTAGTCTCATCAAATTGAAAATCTATCCTCAAGGATTGTTGTTTTTGTTGTGTCCAAGTATCACTGAGGGCAATTCATTCATTAATAAGTAACATTTAGCCACATTGGTATATTTTTTGGATATTTTTAAGTAGACACACAATGATGTCAAACTTAAACTGTTAGTGATATGAAACTTAGATAGATTAGTAACAAAAGAATTTGAAACTGACCTGCCCTTCTGAATGCAATTCAATTTTTCTTATGTGCAAGTTTACCTTGTTTGGGAGTGAATATCTTTGATAATTTTTGACAAGAAAGTTCTGAGTCTAAAGACCGGCATACCTTTGCCAAAATGATTTACATGGTGATCTGGCCTTTTGAATTGGTTTCATCATTTTTAGAGTGTACAAGTACACCATGTTTGAAATAATTTAATAACTTAAAATGTTTGAAATAGGGCACATCAAAAAGGTTTTTTCTAGCATCAACATCATTTTTTCTTCTTTCCAAAAATAGAACTAAATGTGACTTTGATAAAAAAAACAACACCAAAAACAACAACAAGAACAACAACAATATCTTACTTTAAACTTCTGTAAGTTTGCCTTTCTTTCTTGTGGTTTTCTGTCACCATGAAGACAAACACAGGAGTATTTTCCTGTAAAATAACAGCCATTATGTCTGCAGTTTGCCCAGAGATCTTAAGATATTTGTCAGAAAATGCATAAACATTATATTATCTGTTCCCATAAAATGGCCATCAAAACATTATCATTCAATTAAATAGACTGATTGAAACAGCTAGTGTATCACTTCTAATTGATATAAATGTGTTTCTACAATCAGATAATAGCAGAAGGACATAAGGGTTAAAATGCGTGTAGTTTCTTAACAAGAGATGTTACTAGTAAAGAATTATTTCTATGTTGAAACAAACATGAAACCTACATATATAAAGAAATCAATTATATATTCAGAAAATTATCAAAAAATTTGTTGTAAATGAATAAAAATTCTCATTATGTATGTAGTTTGTAATGAAGTAATTTTTTGATAATTTGCCTATAAAATCCTATTATAATACCAGTTCACAAGTTTGGTACAATATTATATCTTGCCTAGCATTTCATTGCCTGTAAACAAAATTATTTTATCTGCTTAAGTCCATAAATATGAAATTTGAACAATTATGCACTGTGCTACAATAACCACAAGATTTTGAACTGAGCAGCTTATGCTAAAGTTACAAAATGCATTATTACCCCTTATAACATGTCAACATGTTTAGTGGCCACATGGCCGAGCAATTAATGGGTCAGACTATTAATCTAATGATCGCTAGCCGCAAGGGTTCAAACCCCATCAGGGGCTAGTAGTTGTTTCGTTGAGCAAGAAACTTTACACTCATTGCTCAGTGCTGGTTGGTTCCAGTAATGGATTCCAAAGTGTGGCTATAAGCAGAAACTTCCTACATATGCGAACTAAAATAAATTCTGTATTAACCATCATGTTGGAAAAATAAGTAATTTACCTTGACCCCTTAGTTGTAAGTATTTTTCAAGGTTGTCACAATCAATTTTAGTTCTGCAAAATATTAGGGCTTTATCCATTTTGTGTTCATCTAAAGCTCGCACAACATACTCTCCTTTTAATATCTTTACGGCCTCTGAATAGGTCTCTGAAAATAGACAGTAACAGAAATGGTGAAATAAAGCCAATCTTAATATTAACAAACTTAATGATAAAAGTAGTTTTGAAGCATTTATATTTATATTTTATACATCTGCAGAATTGCTAGAAATTTTATGTGTCATTTGATTTACATACACTTTTATTCAGTTCATTTAGTTTTATTCATGGTATTGTACATTTCATATTAATACCATTCTTTCAAAAGATTAAATGCAATGAATGTTAACATTGAATAATTATTATTTTTCTATAGCAAATGCTAGGTTTTAATGATGAAGTCTTTCTTACTTTTTACATGTTGCTTAAAGTGCATTTAACCTTAACAGACATGTCTTGCTCTCTTAAATTATTGTCTTAAGATAAGTATTAGATTCAGATATTATATAATGGTATGCATATTACAGGGTACAATATCAAATGTTAATGTCTGTATAATAAAGGAATGCAACCTTAGTGATGTTTTAAGATACAATTTATATATACAAATTAACATTTAATGTTTTATTCTCAGATTCTGCTCATATATAGACTTGCAAAACACATATTAAGCACATATTAAGAAGAACTTTTTAGCATATCAATTTACAATAAAATTTAATCAAACAAGGATGGAAGAAAGTTATCAAAACATAGTACTGAGTTTAGATCTTAACCTAATGGCAAAAGAACATGAGGTCTGAAGTTAAATACTATTTCCTGAAAGGTCTTATTGTAATTATGAGGAAAATAACAGGTTGCACAAAATTATAAAATGAGCCATGTCACGACAAAACCAACATAGTGCGTTTGCGACCAGCATGGATCCAGACCAGCCTGCGCATCTGCGCAGTCTGATCTGGCTGAGGATCCATGCTGTTCGCTTATCAAACCTATTACAAGTAGAGAAACTGATAGTGGACAGCATGGATCCTGATCAGACTGCGCGGATGCACAGGCTGGTCTGGATCAATGCTGGTCGCAAACCCATTATGTTGGTTTTGTCGTGACGCGGCTCAAATAGTTATCTAAACCATCCTAATGTTTGACATGTGTTATCTCTCCTCTTGATTTACTTGTTTATTTAGTTTTTATAAAAGTACAACCTATTTCATATAACTAATTTTCTATTTATAAGCATTAAGTACAAAAACTTCAAAATATTTAAATATACAAGTTAAACTGTTGCCTAGCAACAAAAGTGCCCTACTAGGAAGAGCCTAAATATAGCAAATATCTTAAATAACTATTGATATTTTCAAAATACCAAATTGAAAGTACATTGAAGTAAAAGGTTTTTACTCTTTAAAAGGTTAGTAGAGTCATTTTTTTCTTCAATACAAAGAACAGACCTATATAAATGTACTTTTTCTGTGTGACTAAAACTGTATAGGTTAACTGTAAAGGTTCTTTATGAAAAACATTTATTGAGAGTAACCCATTTGTCATATTTTCTTAGCAAAAAGGTGGCAAAGTCTGTCATTATATGGAAAAGGAAAAATGCCACAAAGATAAAAGAAAAAGCCAATAAACCCCAAAATAATGGTGTTATGTATGGAATTACAGACAGATGGACTGTTGGAAAAACTAACTCATCAATTGATATTCAAAATCATAATGCAAAAATAGTATTAACATAAAAACAATCTTTAACATAATACATATATGTGAATTGGTAACATTTAAATATCAAACAAGTACAAATATATCTATAATAATTAAGGACCCACAGCAAAGAAGTACTTCCATAATTAGGTGTAAAAAGGTCTCAAAAATGTTGCATCCGTTGTGTTGAGCAAATTAAATATCAATATTACAGCGACAGAACTAATCCTATATTCCTTAATTCTGAAACATATCAGAACAAATGTTTTCTTTGCTCTGTTGCAATCCATATTGCATTGTTATATATGCCTGCTAGTACAATTAAGAACCTTAATAATTTTATTCAAGTGCAATGATTTTCTTGGTCAGTAACATTCAATTAATCTGACAGGATGTTGCATTTAAATGAAGTAAATTTTATCACTCTCCTAGGGGCAGACATTTCTTATCATGCAGAGAATACCAACCAAAACAACCCTGATAATTCTGTTAAATTTGGTCGCAGCAAAAATTCCTTCCTTTACTACCAAATTCACATTAAGGTTGTTCATCCCTGTAAGTTTAAGCAAAAATCTGCCATCCGGTTTAAGAAGGAGTTGCGTTCACAAAATTTCTACATAGTATATAGTGAAAAAATCAACAAAGGGCCATAATTCTGTTAAATTTGGTCGCAGCAAAAATTCCTTCCTTTACTACCATCTTCACATTAAGGTTGTTCATCCCTGTAAGTTTAAGCAAAATCTGCCATCCGGTTTAAGAGGAGTTGCGTTCACAAAAATTCTACATAGTATATAGTGAAAAAATCAACAAAGGGCCATAATTCTGTTAAATTTGGTCGCAGCGAAAATTCCTTCCTTTACTACCATCTACACATTAAGGTTGTTCATCCCTGTAAGTTTAAGCAAAATCTGCCATCCGGTTTAAGAGGAGTTGCGTTCACAAGATTTCGGGACGTACGGACTGACGGACGGACGGACGGACGGACAAGTGCAACGCTATATGCTCCCACATTGTGGGGGCATAACAATCTTTAACATAATACATATATGTGAATTGGTAACATTTAAATATCAGACAAGTACAAATTAAATTTCTATTAATTTTCTCTTTTAGGCAAACAGCAAAGGAGAATATTCCATAATAATGTAAGACTCACAGCAAAGAAGTACTTTCCATAATTATGTAAAAAGGTCTCAAAAATGTTGCATCCATTGTTTGAGTAAATTAAATATCAATATACAGCAGACAGAACTCATCTATATTCCTTATTCTGAACATAATGAGACAAATGTTTTCTTGCTCTGTTGCATCCATATTGCATTGCTATAATGCCTGCTAGTGTACAATATGAAGACCTTAATAATTTTATTCAAGTGCAATGATTTCTCAATGGTCAGTAACAATCATTAATCTGACAGGAAGTGTGCATTTATGATAAATTTTATCACTCTGGGGGGCAGACATTTCTTTATCAGGCAGGAAATACCAAAACAACCCTGATCAATCCTGAATATTTAAGAAGTGAAAATGTCTTGTGAAGCATCTTGATAGAAAGTTTTAGAGTAATGACAAAGAAAAGTTGTTATAGAATATTTATTGCATGCATTTGTCAAGAAATGACAATAACAGTGCAATATATTCATTTATCTGTCTATAATTTTTTGAAAAAATAACATAGGACAGCAATAAATTACAGAAAAGGTCTAAAGATTTTAACATACATATTCCAGGCAGATATGGACAAAACAGTACAAAATACAATAAGAAGGAAATGTTGTGAGGTAAATTCATGGCAAAGAAGGGTGTGAACATAAAAATTGGCCTGCTAAATGAGTAATGTTAGTATTCATTAAAGGTCTGGCCTATCTCTGATGTGTATTAGTTTGTCTTTAATACACTTGTTGATTTTCAATGACTGTAAATTATATTTTATACAAGTTTATACAGTCTGGACTCAAAAAATCAAGCGCTCAGCTAGCTTGTTTTGATGATGTAAAATGTGACATCACATTTCAAATTATTGCATGTGCATATATAAGTTCTCTTGCCATTTAAGATTTTTATTTTTGCCAAAGGCGGCAAACTCATGACAGGTCACATGACATCCCTTATTGCTACAAATGTCTACAATAAGCAACAGCAATATTGATAAACTAACAACATAAACCAAACAACAGACCCTCCTCCCATCACTACTTTGGTAGTGTTAGTATGAAAGATGTCACTTGATGTTCCAAATAAAATTTATCAAAAACAAATAAATATACTCTAATGAAACCTTTTTCTGTTACAGACTGTAGGTCTAACCAATAGAAAGGTAAAAGTTTTTACAAAAACATTCGGATTCTATGAAAATCATCACAGGTGTATTGCATTCAGTTAAACTAGAGTCAGCAATGGTGACAAGATATTAAAGGAAGTGTGAATATCCAATAAAAGACTGTGCTAGTATTCCCATTCTTTATTCATTAAAATACAGACATACATGAACAGAAAAATTGTTTTCATCTTGTCAGTTACCTGCAACAAAAAACATTTAAACCCTGTGAACATATTTTGTCACAAACAAGAGACAACAAATAAGTCATAATATTATATCAGTCTTCTTTAACTTTACGCATTTTTTTGGTCTTCTAACAATTTTTGTAAGTGACTTTCTAAATGAACTTGGAAAATTAGAAATTAACAGTGTTTGAATATACACAAATCATTCAAGAATTTCTTTGCAAAAAATGCAAAATCATGGACCATCGTCAATGACATTCAGTGCGAGTTTGTTACATAAAAGAATTTATGAATTTGCCAGGCACCTAGCTGTCATGTAGTTTCTCTGACAATGTGTTGAGATTTTACTTGCAAAAGCTGAAAACTTTGCTTTATTTGGAGGACATGCTACTTGAAACATTTCATTTGGATGTCACCTTTAATTTTTAAAGCTGGAGTTTACAAGTACTTATTAAATTATGACATCCTGCCGATGCACACGCCAAATAAGAGGTGCTCCCTTTAATCATTTTACAAGAAAATCCTCGCAACAATTTGCTAGTGTAATACACAATCACTTGAAATTAACACATGTGAGCTAAATTTTTAACTCTGAATATAAAAGCACTCTGTAAAGATGTGTTTAAAACTTTAGTTTGCTAAAACAAACATTCCTTTCAAAACAATTATGTTTACAATGAGTCATGTACTTTAATACAAGTTATATTAAGTCAGTCTAAGCTGCGACCTTTCTTTTATATAATTTTGTTCAGTAATGATGTCATGGATTTGTTATTAAGAGCACCCCTGAAACTGAAATGTTTCAGAATTTCTGGCAAGTTCTTCTGAAGCCACCAAACTAATTGTCACTCATGAACTGTAACTGCTATATCACAGAATCAAGATAAAAATCCTTCAACACTATATAACCTCTATTAAAAAGGAGGTATAAGTAAAGGGCACATAATAACAATAACTGGTAGATGACATGGTTTTGCAACATGATAGGTGAATAGTCTAGTAATAGCTGAAGTTTATTTCTCATACTGTATCATTGTTATTAACAATTTATAGCTTAAAGCCATTACAACAAAAATAATAATGATAATTATGATGTATACCAAGGACTGTAAAAATAAATCTCCTTCAGGCAAAAATCTATTTATTTACTTGTCCTTTGATTATAGCTCATTCTACAGGCTGATTGTTTGGACAGGACATGAAAGATTTTTTCGTTCAGTCTCGACACGCAATATTTTAATAATGATAATCATAGCAACACGCTTCTCTTCTATTAAATCAGATCTTTGATAAACCTATGGTGCTGTTTAACTTTTTAAAATAAAACATTTTATATTTTTTCTTAAGAAAAATGCATAAATACATATTTTTTATATATCTTCACTCCCTTAGTATAAAAGAAAGTGGTACTATCTAAAAACATCTGATTCTCATTTAAAGTGTCCAGTGCACTGTAAATTTTATTTTGTCATATTTGGTTATACATTATACAGGGGTGTAAACTCCCATAAATAATTCTATCTAGCAGCAGAATAAAATGACTATTATATGGCCTATAACTTGAAACAATTTCTATTTTCCTCCCACAACCTCTGCCAGTTTGGGTAGGGTAGGTAGATGAGTAGGGAGGAGGGAGGTAACCAAACAATATTTCATTCTTGGCCTGTGTGGAGGGAATTTTCCAATTGCCATTATGACTAAGATTTATATAATTTTTCATATGTTTACAAAACAACTTTATTAGCATAAAGTCACTCCCAAACTGAACTGAACTTTATAAAGAACAGATGAAATGACTCATGTGTTCAATACTAAATTCATAGCTTTTCATATCAGTTATTCCTCTTACAAATCAGTCTAAGATTAGTAATGTTTCATCACTTGGGATCAATTTCATTAGCACTACATGTGATGTCCATACAATATTCTTTAAACACATCAATATTGAAGGATAGCATATACATGTATAATAGAAAAAAATGGCACTGCAATATGGGTACATGTATATGATCAGAAGAAAATGATATAAACAAACACAAGTATAATACAAATATGTATACAAAGGTTACACACATGAAGAAAAATGTAAATGAAGAGGCTTTAGTCCTATATGTAAATTTGATGGACGGGGGAGTTGTCCTACATGTTAATTTGATATGGGGGCTTTTGTCCTATGTGTACATTTGATACGGGGCGGGGGAGCCTTTAGTCCCAAAGGGCTTTAGTCCACTGATGGGCTTTTGTCCCTATACAGTTTAAAATGCATACATTGCCATAATTTTTAGCTAATTTCCCGGACACTTTTCATTTGGAGATGGGGCATTGATCAAAAACCGTACTGTTTCTAAAATTTAAAATGTGGCACAGTCAACCTATATTACCAGTATTTACAAATTGCAAATTTAATGACAACATAAACAAGACAAAATGTAAATAATTATTAACAGTTTTTTTTTCTATTTTTTTAAAGTATTAAGGCTTTATAAATTCAATCAGTCACAGATTTATAGAACAAGAACCAGTTCAACCGACACAGAAAAGTATACCTCTTGAATTGTCAAGAGTTATGTCCCTGAGTTCAGAATGTAAAAATGAACAAAGGGCAATAACTCTAAAATTAGGCAAGGCAGAGTTAAGCTTCTTTTGCACTGCATATCTACTCAATGAGATCTATCTACCTACAGTTTCATGTTGATACCTTTTGTTGTTTCAAAGTTATGTCCCTGACAAGAGTAGCGGACGGACGGACATAGCGGTGACTATATGCTCACCCTTCGGGGAGCATAATAAAATCAGTCACAGAATAGAATAAAGCCATGTTAAGTAAGGACAATTAGCTATACAGTCATTTGGTAAAAATAGCTGAAACATTCGTCAAATCCTGCTGACATTATTACCTCATATCTAGCAGTAATTTTACGGTGTTTGAGTACTTATATTAGAATGGAGTTATTATTAATAATTGCCTGAAGGCAGATTCAATTTATGCTGGCCAGTTGTTAATCTGTTACAGTTTATGACACTAATAGCTCCATTAATCTTTTAATTGATCTAAATTATTGCCAATAATTTTTAGTTGGAAGGGGCACATAGATTTACCAATTATTATTAGTGTCACCATTTACTGTATTACTGCATTATGGGGATAATCAGTCTGTTATTAGCATTCTAGAATAGTTAGTAATAACTTGACAATAAGATTCCATTAAAAATTGTAAAATTTCTGGCTGAAAAGTAGATTATTTAAGATTTTTTATATTTACCTTGACATAAATCATCTCTGGGACACCTCCGGGAAAGATACTTTATTTCTGGGACAATCCCAGATGTCTGGGACATCATGGCATATATGATAAAGGACAAGTTGAGTAACTGTGACATCATTATAATGGTCAAGATGAGTAACTGTGACAGTTATAAAGGACAAGTTGAGTAACTGTGACGTCATTATAATGGTCAAGATGAGTAACTGTGACAGTTATAGAGGTCAAGTTGAGTAACTGTGACAGTTATAAAGGTCAAGTTGAGTAACTGTGACAGTTATAGAGGTCAAGTTGAGTAACTGTGACAGTTATAGAGGTCAAGTTGAGTAACTGTGACAGTTATAAAGGTCAATTTGTATATCTATCACAGTTATCAAGGAAAAATTATGTACCTACTACAGTTAAAGGACAAGTTGTGTACCTATCACAGTTAAAATATTTAAAAATTCATATATTTCAGTTACATTAAGTGCATTATTCACTAGAATTAAAGTAATATCCTCTCTATATATATGATACAATGGTGATTGTGATGTAAATGGTGCCTCACAGTGGTCAGACTAATCAGCAAAATATCAAAACGTCTGTGCTGAATTGATCAATACTTGGAGCAACAAAAACATATTCCATTTCATTACTTTCTAATAATTGAATGAAATCCTACCATTAATGAAATATTGAGCCACATTTGATGCATTGATATCTACTTTACCAGTCTACTTCAAACATGGTAAATTTGTGCAGAATTTAGATCTATTAAAGAACTGAAGTCTGAAATACAAGGGAAATACAGTATGTAGACCATTTCACAAACAAAATCTGAATGATTAAAGCACAAGACTCGTTATCTTAGAATTACGGGTTCAATCCTGCTCAATTACAAGCCTTTGTTTCCTTGAGCAAGAAACTATGAAACTTTACACTCATTGCTAAATACAGGTTGGTTCCAGGAGCTGATTCAAAAGTTATGACTTCCGTGTTAATTAAGAATTGTAACCAATTGCATACTATGAGAATTCCTTTTATTTTTGGAAAAGTATGCTATGCAAGTTACCATCATTCACTATTATTAGGCAAAGCAATACAAAGTATTTTGTCTGACACAAGACTTTATATAACCATTACCGCAAGTATCATTATATTTGAGCTGTGTCATGACAAAACCAACATAGTGCGTTTGTTGGTTTTGTCATGACGCGGCTCATTTCTTCTTAAGTATATTTTCTATATTAACTGTTTTGTACGAGATTACTGGGAATATAGAGGAGATACTGATAATAGGTAGAGGTCTCTCAAAACAAATACATTTCTAGAAAATAATATTGACCACTAAGCTTGGTAAAGAGTGAAGGCAATGTCCAGAAGTATATTGAATGATTGCCGTCAGAAGTATATTGAATGGTAGGAATTCTATCAAAATGCATTTATTCTATATATATTGGGAGAACGGTGAGCGGGAAAATATTGGTCTCGCTCTCTCCACTCTGGTGATTATCAAGGCAGGAATTATTACTTGACGAGATTTTCTCCAATACAAACCAGCAAGACAAACTACGGCATTGCCAATATATAGACAAAACGGCAAGTCTACTTTTACCAGTGACAGATCTATTTATCAATGATAAAAGTTTTATATTTTTTAATTTTTCTCCAACATTAGAGCATATATTTACTGTAAAATTAAAATAATATATATAAATATCAATTGTTATAACAATAAACAGTGAAAAATAAAATTCATTGGAATTTTATTTCATCTTGTGCGGAGAAGTTTTAAAGACTGACTGGATTTATTAGTGGTAATAGAAGTAATGAAAATAGACTGATATATGTTGAGCTTCAGGTAAGTTATGTTTTCTTACGCTACTTTGACAGCTAAATAAGTTAAAAATTGTCAAACTTTATAAGCTGAAATTATGAATGGAATAGCAATTGTTCTATGAAGACTATAAGAAAAGGGAAGAAGATATATTGAACATTTGTTTTTTTTTTGTAATTTGAAAACAGTATTTTATTCATGTTTTTAAAGAAATATTTTTTCATTTACTTAAATGTTAATTTATGGTATTTTCAAAAAATATCATTACATATCATTGTTATATAATTTGAAATTTTATTTTTCCCCTATTTAATGGAGGCCTTAATATTATAAGTTAAAGCTTTATATCTTTTTAATACACAAAATTCTTAGCATTATTAGCTTAATTACTGATATAAATTGAAATAAATATTTTAGAGAATGCAGTCTTTAAATCACTGAGTGACAAACCATTACGTAGTCAAATTATTTTTAAATACTGTGAATGAAAAAATATATCAATTTTTATTACCTTCCTTAATATGATTCAACAAAAGAAAAGGTAGGAAAATAAAGAATTATGCTGAATTAAAACAATAATCTGTGCAGAAGAAGTACTTCATTCAAACTTCATTGAATCACAATTTATCTGCAACATTAACAATGCTTCTAGCAATGGGTAATGATTCAAAATTCCACATGAAATGAAAATCTTACACTACTTTAAGTCTTCTATATTGAGAAAAAAAAATGAAATTCCTTTTACTCATAATAAATAATATAACATAAATCTTTTTATTCCCCTACAATCTTGCTTGTATGATTAAATAATTAATTCAATCAATCATAAAATACTGCAAATATGTAAGATCTTTATTTTACTGCATGAATCTGTATACATTATGATCTTCTGGTAAAATCCATGCATTTGTATAATTTGTTTGTTATATAACATGCACATTTGCTATAAAAATTTATTTGTTTTATGCAATAAAGTATAACATTGAACATGAGAAGTATTATTTTTAGGAACAAAATGGTAGACACCCATCAATTAAAAAGTCTTTACTTAACTAGTATTTACATTTTGATATTTTGCTACATTTATGTTTTAACAACTTAAACTCTTTTACATTTTTTTGCTATTATTTTTTGTAAAATAAATTTAATCAAACTATTTAATAACATATAGATTGGTTGCCATTGACTTTCTGGAAAGAGAGCACTTGTAAACTTACAGTGTTCAGCAAGTTGATGGCATAATGTGACAATATTTGCATATAAGGAAAAATAAACATGTTCCCTGATGATAAAAGTAATACACATCAATCAAATGAAAAATTATTGGGTACACTGTTACTTAGTAAATGATCTAAACATCAGAATTCACTGAATCACTGAAATGCAAATATGTAAAAACGCTTAAGCAATACAGACTTTGTAAAGGCATCAATACAGACTTTAAGACATCAATACAGACTTTGTAAAGGCATCAAAACAGACTTTAAAACATAAAAACAGACTGTGTAAGACATCAATACAGACTTTGTAAAGGCATCAAAACAGACTTTAAGGCATCAATACAGCCTTTGTAAAGGCATCAATACAGACTTCAAGACATCAATACAGACTTTGTAAAGGCATCAATACAGACCTCAAGACATCAATACAGACTTTAAGACATCAATACAGACTTTGTAAAGACATCAATACAGACTTTAAGACATCAATACAGACTTTAATGAATCAATACAGACTTTGTAAAGGCATCAGTAAAGGCTTTAAGGCATCAATACAGACTTTGTTAAGACATCAATGCAGACTTATGAAGGCATCAATACAGACTTTGTAAAGGCATCAATACAGACTTTAAGGCATCAAAACAGACTTTGTATAGACATCAATACAGACTTGAAGGCATCAATACAAACTTTGTAAAGGCATCAATACAGACTTTAAGGCATCAATACAGACTTTGTAAGACATCAAAATAGACTTTGTAAGGCACCATTTCGGACATGAATAAAAAATGCTTAAAATATAAACATTGTTTACTTCATCATTTTAAGTTATAAAAAAAAATATTGCAACATAATAAATTTTGTTATATTGGTTTAGCTAAAGGGATATATACTATGAGATCTATATGACCCTTGGGTAGCACCTAGGGTAATAAAGACCTAAGTCTACCTATATTCTCTGGTATTATCTTGTTGGCAACTTATATAACTACTAAAACAGTTAATATATTCGTTATATAACCTTTTAATCTTTTATACAACTTATACTTTGTGCCATTGAACCTGTCCAATCCCTTTATTATACTTGAATGAACTTCTTTTCAATAACAATTAGTCAATATTAACAGTATTCAGCAAGTATTAGAAGGAAGGTGACTTACTGGACATAAAATTTTCTTTATTACATAACCTTACATGTGACAGGAAAGTGATAATAATAAAATGAATAGCTTGTGTTTTATATAAACTATTTGGCCTATAAGTAAGTAAGCAAGTAAATTTTTTATTACATATATATGATATGTGTATATGTAATAACAATAACAGAAATAACATATTAATATTATTAATAACACCAGACCCAATAGGTCTAGAAGTCACTTTTAAATTAGAAGTGTTTCTATATTTTACATAGGTCAACAAAATAAAATGACTGTAAAATTGTTATAGCATCATTATTCATGCATTATATAATATTTAACCTGGAAACGTGATTGACATGATAATATGGATTTAAATAATAAATTAAATAATGCATTAGGCTGGAACTTTCAGAACTTGTGTAAAATACTACATGTACTATACAAAAATCTTTTTTATGATCAAATAGAACACCAATAGAAATGTGGAAGTCTCATGAAAGAAAGAAAAGTTGACTAGATGTAGTTAATCATATCAAAATTTCTTTATTAATCAACATGAACATTGCAATATTCATCTTTCATGTTTTTTTATTTCATGCTGTTTTCTCTGTAAAAAGTCTAAGCTCAAGTAAAAGAAGGCATTGCTAATGCTAAATAATACATGAGTTTTCCCCACTGATGAAGCAAAAATTCCCAATTGGTAATGTGTCTTTCAAAACACTGATTACTTTCAGGAATAGCAATGAACTGACTAGAGATTTTTTTTAAAGCTATGTTTCTTTCTTACTTAGAAAGTCATGCAAAGCTTATAACACAGCTGAGTTCTTTTTTTTATATATTTTACTTATATTATATGTACTGTTCCAAAATTCCAAATTGCAATAATTTGTGTCACTCTTTTTCCATATATACTGGTGATACATTAGCATTTAGAGCCAAATATGATGAAAAAAAAAAGGCTTTTATTTTACACATATTATATAATATTAAAGTAGATTTGTTTTGTATTCAATCAATGTGATACTTATAATGTAAGCACTGTTCTGTTTCATAATTACGCTAAAAGTTATAATACATTCAATGGCAATAAATATATCACAAATTGTGGAAAAAGAAAAGAAAAAGATTTTATTCTCAGCTGTGTAAAAGTTTTTTTTTTATTACTTTATAGTTCATTACTTTATCTCATTTAACACTTGATTACAAACACACATAATCTAAAATGGACTTGTCTTTAATATTAAAACAAATTCATCATTTACAGGGAAAATACTCAGAATACAAAATACATTATAATGTACTGAATGATTATTTGGGGTAAGCTATTATCAGTCTGCATAGATAATCTTGGTCTATTTTGGTTGCATAATGGATCGCAAAAATTGAGCATCAGTAAAAACATATGCAAATTTCCTTTGATCCAATCTAGCACTTTAACCCCATATGCAAAATTATTTCAGTTAAACACAGGGTAACTTTGCAACTTTTCAAACATAATGATAAAATTCGAAACATGTACGAAGAAAATCATGTAACAACTAAATTATCCTTCTGACATTATCTCTTTATTAACCAATTAAACATCAAGTTTTCATGTAATCTTTGGAGAGGTATTGTTTCTGCTGTGGTTTCTATAGTGTGTCCAAGACAACTGCAATGTGTATACAGAAAATTTAAAAACATCTTTTCACAAATTAAGTCTGAATGCAAAACAATGCTATATGAACAAATGCTTACTGAAAATATTAATGGAGATTTTGCTATGGCAGCCAATATCCATCTGAGCTGCATATATGCTGAAGAGATCCATAGATGTTTGATGTAAAGAAAAAAAAATCATCAACACCTTATATAATTTAATAGGAGTTAACCTGTTATTGCACTATGGTGATGTTATGATAGATGACCAGGCAAAACAGTAAGTATCATTTAAAGAGTCAGGCTGCTTAAAAAATAATCTATTCATGGTTATAAAACCATCTATCAAAAAGTAAAAATGTACAATATAAAACTAGACAAAAGGCCCAGTGTGAAATATCTTCAAGAGAAGATTTAACAATGTTAGTTAATCTTTACACATCAATATTTTACTTCTAAACTTTAACTATTTAACTAGTTTAATGGTATCCAAGGGAAATTAAAACCTGTTTTACAACCCATAAATCTTAAAGAGGAAATAAAAATAGTTGTAAAGTATATGGAAAATAGAGAAAATGATGCTTTTATTGCATTTAATTACCACAAAGATAAGGTAACACCTTACCATTAAATTTTATGCTATTTTGAAATAGAATTTAAAACATAAATTTTCAGACACAACAAATTTAACTATAAACTGAGAAACAGTTCTTGCAACTTGCAATAATTAATTTGGAGTTCCTTCATAAACTTATCATGGTTATCAGTAAGATTTTGGGCCCCCTCAAAACTTATAAAACACTCTGATTGTTGTATTTGATAAACAAACAATGACCATCTATCTTATATTCAGAAAGGTTCTTAAAGAACTAAAATTAAATGACTACCCTTCATACCTTAAATATTAATCTGAGATATAGAAGGAAATGTGGAGTTAAATCTTAATCTGAGATATAGAAGTAAATGTGGAGTTAAATCTTAATCTGAGATAAAGCATGTGGAGTTAAATCTTAATCTGTGATATAGACATAAATGTGGAGTTAAATATAGAAGGAAATATGGATTAAATCTTAATCTGAGATATAGAGGGAAATTTGGAGATTAAATCTTAATCTGAGATATAGAGGGAAATTTGGAGCTGAAATATAGAGGGAAATTTGGAGTTTAATCTTAATCTGAGATAAAGCGGGAAATGTGGAGTTAAATCTTAATCTGAAATATAAAGGAAATGTAAAGTTAAATCTTAATCTAATAAAGATATAGAGGGAAATGTGGAGTTTAAATCTCAATCTGAAATATAGAGGGAAATTTGGAGTTAAATCTTAATCTGAGATAGAGAGGGAAATTTGGAGTTTAATCTTAATCTGAGATATAGAGGGTCCAAACCAGCAATTCCTGGGCTTTAAGGCAGACACCATAACCACTTGGCTCAATGTGCTCTGCTTATATAAAATTCGATATATTTAATACCATATAAAATTTGAACAATTTCTTTTAAAAATACAAAATACCATACACCTACATCACCTTCAAATTATATTTATTTTAAGAATTTAAAAGCTTTCAAACAATATATATTAATTTCCTACATAGTCAGCTTCATTTCAGGTCTGTGAAACATTATACTTTCATTGATGTCATAGAATCAGTAAAATTTTAACAATTAAAATGTAAATACTTGAACTACTTCTTTCCTAAATTCACTAAGCTGGATTCTTGATAGATAATGCAAATACTTTGTCAATGATAAACTACTTTTATGTTAATTTAACAAGAAAATACCTACAACATCCATAATTATATATACTCCATATTTCAACCTTACGTACTCAATATTTCAAACTTACAACAGCATTTAAAATCTATATCCACATGTTAAAGACCCATATAAAATTCTAATAGAAATTACATCTTTGTGGTGATGAAATGCCAGCCAAAGAGAAAGGAAAGTGGTGTGAAAACTATCACACCCATGGGAACTTCTGTTCCAGCTAAATAACTAAGATTGATGGCTCAAAAAAAGATTATGACACATGACCATGAAGCAACAAAAATGATTCTGAACATAACAAAATACCCATAATATTCTCATCAAAAAGTACATTGTGTGGAAAAAAAAATGTCATTTTATGGACATCCATTACTGATGGAATAATTTCGCTATACTAAACACTTAACAATGTCATTCGCTTACAATGTTTTCCCTGAAGCACACTTACTGAAAAAATATATATTTGTCATAAAGTCTAAAAACACGCAACACCTTAAAGTTGCTAAACTATTTCCTCACATAATTACGTTCTCAAATCAAGCAAAATAATACTTTTTTTCCCTCTATTCCAGATGAAAACAAAATCTAGTTAGCTGAAGGCAACCAGAAATAGAGACATTCCACGGGGATAATTAGAGACATCGAAAGACAAAAGAAGACAGCTCTCCATCGTCTAGAGTTCCGCACTTCTAGCTACAGTCAGAAATCAGCATCTACTATTTGAGAGGGTATTAAAGACCTGGGGGAAAATATCAGTCAATATTGCTGGATTCAATAATCCTATTGTGATGAGAGGAGATACTGTAAAAGTAAATGTAAGTATCATACTGTGTCATGACTGTTTATAAGGGAATAATGGCTGTATAACTGAGCAAGAAAGGTAACAATTATCGGTGAAAAAAATGTTTCTCATTCATTAACATGGATCAATACATATAGTTTACTTAAAGTAATGTCATACAAATACAGACTTTAAATATACAGTATAAAGCATTTAATTTAACATATATCAATTCTAATTCTATGTTCCTTTGTCAGAAATTAATCAATTTTATTAGTATAATATAAATCATAATATTATATCCATATCACTAACTGTAAACATAGCAAAGAGAGTAAAAAGAGGAATATTACTAATTTATATAATATGACAAACTGATTTTTTTTCCATTGCTTTTTGTATTCATTAAGTATTCATGTAATACAGTTATATCATTCTCCTGAAAAATTAACAAACTGACTTGTAACATTCACTTTATATTACACTCTGCATTTAAAGATATTCCTTAGAACTATCACTGAAATAGCTTTTAAAATCAACTTAATATTGCAACTGAAAACTTTTTAAATTTTAATGATGATACCACAAGCATGTGCAGTCAAGAACACAAGCAAATGTATAGCATTGCACTGGTTTTTCTGAAACTGTGCAGTTCTAATTTTAATCTTATTGATTTAGGAAAATCAATTCAGCACAATTAATGTTTATGCACTGGTTTAACAGAAATGTGACAGAGTTAACAAGTTTAAAACAATAAAAGTTGTTACATGCCCCACATATTTTTTCTCAGCTGTAACACTTTACTGGTGCACCATAGAACATATACATTGCAAAAAAACAAGCAGACTGTATTGATATCTCATAAGTGAAACTCCAGTGCATAAGCATTTGCATAATATGATTCTTTTTTATTTTCTTCTTGACCAAAGGTAGTACATGAGAATGCTGATCTATTAGTTAACCAACAATGTTAGATTATTTTTGAACATTTTCAACATTATTAGATTATTTTTGAACTCCTCAGCGATATATGATTATTTTTGAACATCTTCAGCAATATCAGATTATTTTTGAACATCTTCAGCAATATTATATTATTTTTGAACATGTTCAACAATATTAGATTATTTTTGAACATCTCCAGCAATATTAGATTATTTTTGAACATCTTCAGCAACATTAGATTCTTTTTGAACATCTTCAGCAATATTATATTATTTTTGAACATGTTCAACAATATTAGATTATTTTTGAACATCTTCAGCAATATTAGATTATTTTTGAATATATTCAGCAATATTAGATTATTTTTGAATATCTTCAGCAATATCAGATTGATTATTTTTTAACATCTCCAGCAATATTAGATTATTTTTGAACATCTTCAGCAATATCAGATTGATTTTTTTTTAACATCTTCAGCAATATTAGATTATTTTTTAACATCTTCAGCAATATTAGATTATTTTTGAACATCTTCAGCAATATTACATTATTTTTGAACATCTTCAGCAATATTACATTATTTTTGAACACGTTCAGCAATATTACATTATTTTTGAACACGTTCAACAATATTTGATTATTTTTGAACACGTTCAACAATATTAGATTATTTTTGAACATATTCAACAATATTAGATTATTTTTGAACATCTTCAGCAATATTACATTATTTTTGAACATCTTCAGCAATATTACATTATTTTTGAACACGTTCAGCAATATTACATTATTTTTGAACACATTCAACAATATTTGATTATTTTTTAACATCTTCAGCAATATTAGATTATTTTTGAACATCTTCAGCAACATTAGATTATTTCTAAATATCTTCAGTTATATTAGATTCTTTTTGAATATCTTCAGCAATAATTAGATTATTTTTGAATATCTTTTTTTTTATTTACTTAGAAGTAACAGACAAAACTAATAGGCAAAAACCTTTTTTCCCACATTTCAGAGAGAAATTAGCTCTTTATAAATGACCTTTTTGCATTTATAATCTTTTTTTCTTTTGTACAGCTAAGACATGTCATAATTGCTGTACACTGAACAAAAGATACTCCATTAGGTAGTAAACAAATAAGCCTTAATAACAATGTCTCATGAAATTAGCTTCTTTCTTTTTCTTGGAGAAATAATTGGACAATTTTTATGTACATAAAAGAAGTAATTTCAGGCTCAAAACTGTTTCTATGGAAGCAAATATGACATTATCTTGTGTTTTAGATTTCAATCACATATATAAATATATCAATGACTTGGAAGAGTTTCTCATCCCTACTTTAAGTCACCTTCAGTTTGTTTACCTATATTTGAGACAACATATATGGTGTTCTTCATTCATCACATAGTAATATCAGCCTTCTATAGTTACAGACTATGACATATGAAAGCATACTGTCACCTCTAGTAGAAATTATCCAAGAACACATAATTTCATCTGTCAAAATAGTCTCCCAAACTGGGGATTACAACTGACTTAACCCTGAATCTCTAGTTACCAACGAAGATAATTTCTGTCACAAACTGTAATCTTATTTGGCCTGATTTGGTTTGATATTGTCATACAAGAGGGTAATTCTTGTATATTCATACAGACTGTCTGTCAACCTTGATCAGTGGTATAAAAATAACAATGTCTGAACTAAATAATCCTAATTTCACAAGAAACTTGATTTGTTTACATCATCATACTCTCAAAAAAAAGCTGAATATTTGATTGTCTGAATAAAATACGAGTCGCGTCACAACAAAACCAACGTAATGCGTTTGCTACCAGCATGGATCCAGACCAGCCTGCGCATCCTCGCAGTCTGATCAGGATCCATGCTGTTCGCTATCAGTTTCTCTACTTGTAATAGGGTTGCAGGTAAGCGAATGGGTAAGGTAATGGTCTGTATCCATGCTGGTCGCAAACCCATTATATTGGTTTTGTTGTGACGCGGCTCATATGTATCTCTTTCATTTTCAGTGTCTAGTGTCTTGATATTTTTTTTTTATTTTCTGAAATGTAAGTCTTTTAAACAGTAAACAATTTTGCAACTCTATTCTCCATTCTCTTCTGTCAATGGACATGTTTTATTGTAAGATTAAGGCTTACAAGCCCTATGATAACTGCTGAGTATATTGGGATAATATAACTTGACTATTAAAGTGCACTTTGGAAATCTTATAATACATGTAAAGAAAATAAATCCTTCATAATTTTACACTTGAAGATGGTTAAAGACATGTGATGGTACGATTGTAACAAGAGGGCCATGATGGCCCTGAGGTCGCTCACCTGTATATAGCCCCCCTCCCCCGGGCCAATTTTTACCCAAGGGCTTTTATTTGTTTATTTGAACAGACTTGGTAGACACCCATTAGAAGATGTTTCATGCTAAACATCTAAGTTCTAGCTCATTGGGTTTTTTAAAAGAAGATTTTAAAAGTTTTTACTATACACATATAGTTAAAAACAATGACACCCCTGGGGCAGGGCCAGTTTTGACCCCCGGGCTTTTATTTGAACAAACTTTGTAGATATTTACTTAAAGATGTTTCATGCTTAATATCTAAACTCTAGCTATTTGGGTTTTTCAAAGAAGATTTTTAAGTTTTTGCTATACACATATAAAGAAAATCAATGACCCCCCCGGGCGGGGCCAGTTTTGACCCCAGGGCTTTTATTTGAACATACTTGGTAGACACCCATTAGAACATGTTTCATGCTAAATATCTTAGCTCTAGCTCTTTGAGTTCTTTAAAAGAAGATTTTTTTAAAGTTTTTACTATATGCATATAGGGAAAATCAATGACCCCCTGGGGCGGGGCCAATTTTGACCCCAGGGCTTTTAATTGAACAAACTTGGTAGACACTCATTAGAAGATGTTTCATGCTAAATATCTTAGCTCTAGCTCTTTGGGTTCTTTAAAAGAAGATTTTTTAAGTTTTTACTACATGCATATAGGGAAAATCTATGACCCCCTGGGGCGGGGTCAATTTTGACCCCAGGGCTTTTATTTGAACAAACTTGGTAGACATTCACTAGAAGACGTTTCATGCCAAATATTTAAGCTCTAGCTCTTATGGTTCTTTAAAAGAAGATTTTTTACGTTTTTACTATATGCATATAGGGAAAATCAATGACCCCCCGGGGCGGGGCCAATTTTGACCCCAGGGCTTTTATTTGAACAAACTTGGTAGACACTCACTAGAAGATGTTTCATGCTTAATATCTTAGCTCTAGCTCTTTGGGTTCTTTAAAAGAAATTTTTTTAAGTTTTTACTATATGCATATAGGGAAAATCAATGACCCCCTGGGGCGGGGCCAATTTTGACCCCAGGGCTTTTATTTGAACAAACTTGGTAGACATTCATTAGAAGATGTTTCATGCCAAATATCTAAGCTCTAGCTCTTATGGTTCTTTAAAAGAAGATTTTTTAAGTTTTTACTATATGCATATAGGGAAAATCAATGACCCCCTGGGGCGGGGCCAATTTTGACCCCCGGGCTTTTATTTGAACAAAATTGGTAGACACTCACTAGAAGATGTTTCATGCCAAATATCTAAGCTCTAGCTCTTAGGGTTGTTTAAAAGAAGATATTTAAAGATTTTTCTTTCGGTTGCCATGGCAACCAGAGTTCTGCATGGAATTAAATTCTTTGAACAATTTTTAAAGGTGACCACCAAAGGAACATTCCTGTGAAGTTTGGATGAAATTGGCTCAGTGGTTTATGAGGAGATGTCATTTAAAGCAAAAGTTTACGGACGGACGACGGACGGACGGACGCCGGACGAAAAGCGATCACAAAAGCTCACCCTGTCACTTTGTGACAGGTGAGCTAAAAAAACAACAACAACAAAACTTTCTTGTCATCAACTTTTTAAAATTGTTCCCACTTAAATTAATAATAAATGTGGAACTTTAAACAATTACTGAATAAATATCTACTGCATCTCTGCTTTGTTTCTTGACAAATGCTATTGTATTTTGTATCTTGTACATATATTCTCCAGTGATTTATGGCACAAACCATTGCCAAGAAAAAAAACATCACTTAAATGGTAAAAAGACATTTATCATTTTGACAGTTGATTCTCTGGCACAAATTATTTGGAAATGCAATTTGACTTTCAGAAATACTATCAAAAATTTGAATTATTCATAAAAAAAATTAATAAGTCTCATTGTAGATGAGATTTTCCCCCACATATTTCCCAATTGTGATTCAACCTGGATTACTATATATAACCAAGCCTGTTTGTAAATATATCCCCATGGAGGCAAAAAATTTCTACATTTTCTTTGTTCCCCGAGGACAATCGGCTGACATTATATTTGAATGTGGTAAGATATTTGGAAATCTATTAAAATTGTGTGTAAACATATTTTGTTTACCATGGTAGAAAAGATGATTCCCAAAAGAGTTTATACCCTTAATTATACCTTGTGTGACTCTGATTCAATATTAAACTATTGTTACACATATTGATAGACATATCAATGGTCTACAAGATAAAATGTGAATCATACATCAATGTATATAGAATAACTTTTATATCCCACTTACATACCTGTATTAAAAATACATTATAACATATATAGAATTATGATGCAATTATTTATTTTATTAATGCTTTCTGCATATTTTCTTCTGACCATCTTTTGTCATCACTTAAATGATTTAATTTATGTTAATAATGTGACAAAAATGAGCTGCACCATGACAAAACCAACATAATGGGTTTGCAACCAGCATGGATCCAGACCAGCCTGTGCATCCGCACAGTCTGATCAAGATCCACAGTGTACGCTATCAGTTTCTCTACTTGTTATAGGGTTTGTAAGCGAACAGCATGGATCCTGATCAAACTGCATGGATGCGCAGGCTGGTCTGGATCCATGCTGGTCGCAAATACATCATGTTGGTTTTGTCATGACAAGGCTCAAATGAAGTTTGAGATCAGTCCTTTTGACATCCCTACTTTAACTACTCTTATGCATCTCTGTGATTTAAAATTTCTAGACATTTAAGCAATCAAAATCAAATTTCCAACTTTCGTTTCCAAATCTGTATCAATAATTGTATCAATGATTAATCAACAGTAAGGAATGAAATGAATTATATGTTGATATGTTTTCTACTGATGATAGCTCTACAAATAATGAGCTCTTAATTATATAATGCCGGAATTTTCTTGAAATTTACACAAGCCTATTATATTATACGGTTTGAAATATTGCCTTTAATATACTTACCTTGTGAACTCTGTTAGATTCTGCACAGAAGCCATAAAATATACTTTATACTGTCTAATATTTCAGAGAAAATTTGTTTTCATGAAACCCTGCAAAATTTTAATTAGAAACTGGAAGACTTGTAAAGACCTGAAATTAATTTCTTTTTCAAAATATTGATCCTTTTTTCCAGACAATGGTTCCATCGGCATGAAAATGACAAACTTAATACAGGACAGATTTTACACATTGTGATGGAAGAAGTAACTGGTACCCAAATTAATTATACTCTAACCTTTCACAACTTCAACTCTTCATCTCCACCTACATACTACGGCAACAACAACAACAACACTACCAACAACATGACCAAGTTAATACCACACTTTGGGATCCAACATGATGAACTTTCTTTTGAAAAAGTGTTCGAGATCTACATAGTGCCAGTGTTAGTTGTATTTGGTACCATCGGGAATCTTCTAATACTACTAACTGTACGCCAGAGGAACATGAGTAACTGGTCAATATGTTTCTATCTTGCCGCTTATGCCGTTGTCAATATCATCATCCTAGTGCCTATGTCCGGTTTGGAGTGGCTGTGCAAAGTAACTGGAACTAAATATGTGACGGAACTCACCGACTGGACATGTAAATTATGGCAATTTGTCATGGGGGTTTCCATCTATTCTGGAATATGGTTTATGTACGCAATGCTTGTGGACCAATACATAGTTATCTGGTTGCCCCATAAAGCACAGTCGATGTGTACAATATTCATGGCAAAGTTTGCTACAGTGATAATAGTGATTGGCCTTATCGTGGTCAGTATCCACGCAATATGGACATATGAACTTTTCTCAAATGGATGCTTTGTGTCACCTGCCCAGAATGATATTCTCACAATTGTTTGGCCATGGGTTTCCCTATGTTGCTACTGTATCATACCTCTTCTCCTTATTATAATCTTCATTGTTCTCGTCATATACGGATCGTTCACAAAAAATACGTGGAAAAAATCGTCCAGCAACTATCAAGTACCTATTGATATCACGTTCATGACTGTCGCTCTTTCAATATTCTATGTCCTTTTTGTAGGACCTGCGACTGTTCTCAACATAATGGAGATCAACCTACCAAATTCTTGGCTACATGATCCTGAATTCTACAAAGCAATCATGGTAGCGGTAACCGTCGGTGACCTACTTACATTTCTCAATCCAACATTCGCTTTTGTCATTTGTGTGTCTTTCTCATCAACATTTCGTTTAGAGTTGCAAGAAAGGATAAAAAGCTTGTGTTGTGAGAACGTTATTCGTGTGTATGAAATGCAAGTGAATAATGCTGGAAATGTTGGCAATGATCCAGAAAATTGCTCGGAGACCACACCCTTGTAAAAACACTCGTAACATTCTTATAGCAAATATCGTGTAATTCATATTTATTACGGAGATTTCTAAATTTTGTGATGTGTTAACTATTCACTATTTGCCAAACAATTCAGTCACTCTGTAACTGAAAATGACAAAATTATAATAGTGTAGGTTCCTAAATGGTTTTCCTTTACATTAAAATTGGTTGAAGCTAAATGGCTCCTCTTTTTCACAAGGAAAATTTGAAGAAATCTACAACATATTCTATAATGAAATTTTTATTTTTTTTTCTATGTAATGCATTAAAAAAGAAAATAATTAAGTGTTGTCTACTAAAAGAAGAAATGTCTAGCAACATAAATGATTCTGACAGAGAAAAACTAATGCTTATATTCACAAGTAAGTTCCATGGAATTCAGCTTTGTTCATAAATCACTATTGAAGCGACACTTGGTAGGTGTTTTTAAGGTGTGAAAATGTCAGACCTTGTCTGGTGGCATTAAAGATTTTTCCCTATAAACATGAGGCTGTCTTTGGCTATATAATTATAGTCCTTGTGCAAAATTTGATTCCATCAAGAGATAAAACAACACATTTATTTACTGATTGTGAGAAATAATTGATTGATTAAGCCAAACAATGTGAGCATGTTCTGTTCAAAACAGATAATAAATCATCTTATCTAAATTATATAAACAGATTGTTTTCAACTGAACCAAAATTGAATATTTAAATAGCCACCAAAATGCTTTATACCTTCAAAAATAACAAAGAAACTCAAAGATTTTTCTATTATCTGTTAGATAATGTAAAGTGTTATATATCCAAGGTTGATGCACAGATGGGCTGGGTATCTATCATACCAAATTATGTAAAGTTGACTTTTTTACAACAATAATGCCAATGTGAACAATATGGAGTTGGCATGTCAGTACTATAATTGTTTTTAAATCACATAAAGTAAACAAGAGCACCGCTAGGCGGAGCATTATATGCCCGAAAGTGATTTTTTTTTTTAGTAAAGATGAAGCATTTGTAAGACATGGAAATTAAATAGAGTATTACCTCCTTCACAAAACAATCCTCCTTTGAAGTTTCAAACTTGTGGTCCAAATGGAACTTAAGTTATGCCCCGGAAACTGTTTTCAGTTCTAAGGTAATACTGACCTTGACCTTATGACCCCAAAATCAATGGGGGTCTTCTACCCAATATGGACAATTATACTATGAAGTTTAAACACAGTGGGCCAAATGAAACTTAAGTAATGTTCAGACAACTGTTTTCAGTTTTAAGGTAATAGTGACCTTGAAGTTTGAACACTGTTGGCCATTGGAACTTAAGTTATGCTCCGGAAACTGTTTTCAGTTTTAAGGTCATAGTGACCTTGACCTTTGACCTTGTGACCCCAAAATCAATAGGGGTCTTCTATCCAATATGGACAATCATCCTATGAAGTTTGAATATTGTGGGCCAAATGGAACTTATGGAAGCTATGCTCCGGAAACCAAATTGCTAACGGACGGACGGACAGACGCCAGGGGGTATAAAATTCTTTCGGGCATATAATGAATATGTGGGCTTTTTATAGTATATGTTCTAAAATAAAGAATAGCATATTAAAATATGATATTTCATTCATAAATTTATTAATTTCCTTCCTGTTTTATAACAAATGTTAACAAGACAGACACAATCTTGAGTGTTATTTCACGTTTGATTACATGACAAAAGATAGAATTAAGTTTAACAATTTCAAAACCTTTTGAGGTCTGTTATATTGTTTTGAAAAGACTTATAAAAACAACTATTTCAGAAAATGTACAAATAATGCCATTCCAATGCTTGGACACTTGAGGCGGTAGCCAGTGGGTCTATTAAATGTTTCTGCAAGACACACCACTACAATGTACATTGACAGGTAAACAATATTGCTACTATGTACAGTACAAATGTATTTCTAAAGTGGAACTTATAATTTGTAAATGCCTATACTGACATGGGTGATCTTAGGTTTCCTGCAGGTTGCAATCCCAATGTCAACACAGATAATTATGTTTATTAAATATTGTCCAGGGATCTGCCAATCACTAGCTCCTCCCACCCCTCTTCCCAAACTTAATTGATTTCCTTCAAGAAATCTTGATTTTGAACAATATTTTGAAGGGGAAAAACAAGTCAAATTTTCATTTGTTTTTTTTATTTTATTCTTTTATACACATCAACAGACATATTCTTGTTATTATTGATAAACAAAATGCATGTGATGAGATTTTGTTAACTGTTGTTTCATTTCTTTATATATTATGTTATCTGGAGGTTGTAAATATACATGTTGCATGTAACACTATATTAAAATTATCTTTGGAAATACACAAATTTATTGATGTTTTTGTGTTGTAACTTAGTTTTAGGTCACGCTAACACTGTCAATATCATAGTATAGTGACCCCTCCGGGACAGACACCTTATTTCCGGGACATTCCCCGGATGTCCGGGATGTTATGGCATGTATGATCATAGTATAGTGACTTTCCGGGTTTTACTAGTAAAAGAAGACAAGATTTCAGGATGTCAACCCTCTAGCACCATTTCCAGACAAGAGGGCACACTTGAGAAGAACAATCCGTCTTCAGTAAGCTTCGTGCCACCAGTTTCCCCTTAAATGATTGAGTCAAAAGACCCTGAAAAAGTGAGGCTTTTCTTTTGTACTCGGCTACTAATTTTAGGAGTTTATTTTGTCACAGGGTGAGAAAAATGTGCAGCCTGACCGGGACTCGAACCTGGGACCTTCGGAATACCGTTCCGCGGCTCTACTGACTGAGCTATCCGGCCGCTTATAATACACATCTTCTCCCCTAAATAGTGAACAGTTCTGAACTCTGACATATGGAATAGTTAACTTAAAGAATCTGTTAAAGCCACCAACATGAACTTGATTGAGCCAGTTTGGACAGGCTTTATTTCTGCTATAGGTATTCAGACAGTAAAATGTTAGGGCCCAGTTACACAGACAGTCGGTCCCCAATCGGTCATTTAATTTTAAATTTACTCGCTGTTATGATCGGTTGTCATGCGTGATTTTATTTTAGGTTTTCTGTGTAAACGGCCATCGGTGACAGAAAGCAAACTCAAACGGGAATTAGTCGATGATTAAATGCTGAAATACTTTTGGTTTTTATCGTTTGTAAATCGGAGCTAAATCAGGCGTAACGCTGATTAATCGGTGTTTGATAGCTAGTCATCAGTGGTTAAACACTTTCCGTCAGATATGGCCGGTGATTCATATTTGGTTATCTTTGTCCGATCGGTGATATCGGTGATTAAGAGCTTGCATATCTCGTGATATAGGTTGCCGTCGGTAATTTTTAAAATATTTTCACCGATCGAGAATTTTAAACGTGTTTAAAAATCCCAATCGGTAATTTTTCACCGATGAAACTTATCTTTCCCCAATAGCAGTTGATAGGTGGAAAACAGGTGACCAATAGGTGATATCGGTGATCAATACGTTGTCATCGGTTCACTCCATAATTTGGCTAAAAAACTACCGATCAATCACCGATGGCTCTGTGTAACTGGGGTGTTACTGTTTATATATCTAGATAATTGCCATTATTTAAACTAACTTTTGACAGTTTCAATTTCAAGCTTATTCAGCATTATCGGCAGGGAAAATGTTAACAGAGAAGTGTTTATTAGCTAATGCAAATTTCTACAATACAAGACATTTTAACTTAGAAAAAACCTTAATTGTTAAAAAATTCTTAATTGAATATATAAAGCAATCATCTTAATTTATCAATAATTGTGTATTTCAAAGAATTTTTCAAAAGTTTAAAAATACAGCAGCCTGTTTTAGTCAAACTGAATATAAATGCAGAATGGGCCAGTTCTCCTGAAATAGTGTCTTTATATTAAAATATCATTAGATACTGGAAACCCAAACAGTATAAATTCATGTATGAAATATTGCATACTATAATTATGCTAACAAATTCACTAAATTGACCTTTCATGTAAAACAAAATTAATCATTAAGTACATCCTAACACTTTGGTAATAATTAAAAACAAACTATAGAATAGGCAAGACTTGTTGTGACAAAAATAGCAATATATCTGAGCAAAATGCTTACATCCTACAACTAGACAAAAGGAAAATTGACATGTACCAATATCACCTCATGTCTATTTTTGTAAAAAATGAGGCGAAAATCTAAAGTATATTATAATGTCACTTTTGGTGTTAGACATTACAAAGTACCCATTCTCCTCTTTCTAGCCAATTAACTAGCCTTCCTCTGAAAGTGCCAAACTATTTTTAGATTCACATTAATTGGCCAAATCAGCAAATGACAGATTCAAGTTAAAGTTACTAACATTCAAAGAAATAGGGGAAATATAATAACAAGCTTTATACATTTGTCAGAACTGACATCCAATTAGACTTCTAGCATAGTACAATCTGTAATAGAGGGTTAACAGAATTTGAACAAAGTGTTTACAAGGTCAGATTTCTATTGACTTACATAAATTCCTTACAAAAAGTAACCACATCCAATCAATATCTATGACTCATTGTACTAAAATGGAACTATTTCAGTCAAAGTTTGTAATGGAACTGAGTTCCTATAAAATACTCAGGGAATATATTTCATAGCTCTTTTCTACTGTTTCTCAATTACAAAAGCTCAAGAAATCTATTACTATTAATCTGTGCAAATGCCCCAGGTCACACAAATGGAAAAATAACCTACAGTGGTTGTGGGTAAAAACTAAAATATTAAAATGACATATGAATGCTATGATGCACTTTATGTTATAAGCAGTATTAATGGAGATTGCAAATAGTAATCTTAGATAATTGCTGTAAGCTCAAGTCTCTTACCACATTTGCATGATTTAGAAGAATATAATATTATACATGTGGTCACTAGGGCAAGTTTAACTGTATAAATAAATTAATGATCTTACAAATCACTATTAAGATCCTATTTACACATTTACAGAGATAAATTGTGAAGAACAAATGGTGGATCTTATTAAAAAGGGAAGTAATTGGTGTATTCTTCTATCCTGGACAGATATTGTTACTTAAATTTCTGTGGTTTATAATGGCATTTAATGCCCCGGTCACATATTCACGGATAATGCCATGGAAGAGCTACGGTCTAATCGTTCACGGATTACTACGGAAATGTGAAATACCGTAGTCCGCTACAGTTCCAGTACGGACACACAACGGTATGAGTATGGAGTCCGACAGATTTACCACCAAAAGCCCCCGGAGAGACACGGATTGTTACGGACAGACACGGTTTGATACGGAGCGACACGAATCAGGACGGATGCACTACGGATATACTACGGTCTGCTACGGTATAAGCACGGGTTAGTACGAATAAGTACGGTTTGATACGGAGAAGAACGTATTGATACGGAGTAGAACGAATTGCCACGGATCTATACGGACCTATTAATACATCCGTCCAAAACCTCTTGCTTGCTTATTTTCAAAATGCCTCAAAAGAAAATAACACCTAGAAAACGAATTGCAGCGTTCAATAATTTTGGCGGAGAGGATTCAGCCTATTCGCGTCCGAACCCCGAGACACATCAGGTCCAATTTAAGTGAATTTCTTGAAGGACGCTGGATCCTCAACAAGTTCGGCCATGAGAGCCTCATACTTAACATGAAGCGGTCTTCGTAAAAGCCCATCTCTAGTCCACCATCTCGTCTGTCTTCTCTTACCTGACTAGTAATAGTAATCATTAATGGAAAATGTTGATCAATACTGCTTCTCTTTTAATTTTAAGATTTGCTGTTCATCTTACAATTACATTCATTATCGTGATGTTTATGTTTTAAAAATATGTAAAAAGCTTGTTAATTAATCTTATTATCACTCAAGGGCCAGTGTCCGAGGCTTATGAGACACTTCGTTTTATGTACATATTTACTCCATTTTCACGATCCAATGTTTGTAAAATATGTAACATTAAATGTTATTCTATTTCTTATGAATTGTAGTACGATATTAATATAAATTTACTTCTATGCATGTCATCAAGCAGCTCGACCACTGCCTCCGCATTCTGAGCCATTTCAATATAAAGTTGCAGCCAGTAAATGGCAATTATCATTTATTAAATGTTCCTGCAAATATATATGTCTGTTTTTAACAAGAAGGTAGTATTTATACCCTTGAAAAAGTACATGATACTTAATTCATCCGTACTAAACAGTGGTGGGCCGTACCATTCCGTACCGTTTCGTGTTGCAACGCAATAAACCGTATAAGACCGTGCTA